TTCTGCCCCGTCCTGCAGGTCTTCTTCCCCTTCAGCATCCAGCTCTACCCCCGCGAGTTCCCCGGCCACGACCCCCGCGACTGCCCCCGCGACGTGGGCAAGGCGGCCGCCCTGCGCCTGGGCTGCATCAACGCCGAGTACCCCGACTCCTTCGGGCACTACCGCGAAGCTCGCTTCTCCCAGACCAAGCACCACTGGTGGTGGAAGCTGCACTTCGTCTGGGAGCGGGTGCGGGCGCTGCGGGAGCACGCGGGGCCCGTCCTCTTCCTGGAGGAGGACCACTACCTGGCGCCCGACTTCTACCACGTCCTCAAAAAGCTCTGGGCCCTGCGCGAGCGGGAGTGCCCCGAGTGCCAGATCGTCTCCCTGGGCACCTACAGCCCCGTCCGTGGCGGCTTCGCCGGCCGCGCCGACAAGGTGGAGATGAAGACGTGGAAGTCTACCGAGCACAACATGGGCATGGCCTTCGGCAGAGACACCTACCAGAAGCTCATCGAGTGCACGGATGCCTTCTGCACCTACGACGACTACAACTGGGACTGGACTCTGCAGCACTTGACTGTCTCTTGTCTTCCAAAGTTCTGGAAAGTGCTGGTTCCCGAAATCCCCAGGATTTTTCACACGGGGGACTGTGGCATGCACCACAAGAAATCCTGCAGACCGTCCACCCAGAGTGCCAAAATTGACTCTCTCTTGAACAGCAACCAACAGTACCTGTTTCCCGAAACGATGAGTGTCAGTAAAAGGTACTCCATGGCACCCCTTTCCCCTCATGTGAAAAACGGAGGGTGGGGAGATATTAGGGACCACGAACTCTGTAAAAGTTACCGCAGACTTCAGTGAGGATCGTTCTCGCAGCCTTTTTCTTTTTGAGTTGTCCCGTACTGTCTTTTACAGGCACACGAGTGTATAAAAAGCATTTATGAGTTGGTTTCTGCTTTAATATGAATAAACATTCTCGTAAAAGGTGTCCCACCATAGTAATCTTTCATGTTCGGCAACCACGTTTTGCAAACGGGTTCCTTGCTGCTGCCGGGCCGCTCAGAGCAGCATCGCAGCCCCAACACAAAAAGCGGCCGCTGCTGTGTTTGCTGGGAGGAGGAGAAAACTTGTATTTAAGTGCATCTTCTC